TTAGTCAAAGGTTTCGTAAGTACTACTAGTCTTTCATGCTTAGTTGATTCTGGCGCTGGTTGTTCTTTGATACGTCAGAAGTCTTTCTCAGAGTTCCAAACGAGGATTAGATATTTTGATAGACCTAATATTACACTTCATACCACGAATGGCACAAATCTTAGCCATACCGGTCTTGTGGAGTTCTCCCTTGATCTCTTTGATTTTAGTTTTTACCACCAATTTGTTGTGTCCCGGATATCACGTGGGATTGTCTGATAGGTGTTGACTTTTTAAATAAGTTTAAATGCTGCCTTGATTTTGGTAAGCGTTCATTACGGGCTGCCACGGCCACTGTGCCTTTTCTTAACAGTATCCCTAAGCCAGTGAGGCTACCCACTTTTTAGTTTATTTCAGCTGATTTGGTAAGGATAATAGGCAAAGCCTTTGAAAACCCTATTGATTACATGTCAGCTCGTTAGAAATGACAGTACACGAACAAACAATATTCACTATTAAAACAGTACTCGCTTCATTTCAGTATCATTGTCTCAGAGAAAATATTTGTGGGACGTGGGGTCTTAGTTCAGATTAACACTTTCGAGGGAAAACAGAGGACACAAATAATCATCCAAGCGTTCCTTGAAGAGTTGCAGGGACGTAGCCTCCACGACTGACTGAGGGAGATCGTTCCATTGCTCCACTACCCTCTGCGTGGAGATTCAGCCTGGACATTGTTGTCCGTAAATTCATCGAGTGACCACGAAGATTGTGCGAAAGGTGCCACTGAAACATGTCCTCAAATTTGGTTCCATACTCAAGGCCATGTATTATCTTGTAGACGAGGATAAGATCCCCTCTTTGCTGCCTGTAACACAGAGGGAATAAATTAAGGCAAATCAGTCTGTCTGTGTAGGATTGGCTTTTTAGACAGTTTACCGGCTTTGTTGCACGCCGTTGTACTCGTTCGAGGCATGCTTGGTCCTTTGCTAGCCACGGCCGCCACGCTTGTATGCCATATTCTAAGTGGGGCCGAACAAATGTGCTGTAAACTCTCCCAAAAAGGTCTTGGTCAAAGTTTACGAGAGCCCTTTTTATTGCATGCAGCACTCCCATGGCGTTTTTGCAGCCTTGTGGCACTGCAGCGTTGGTTTCAGATTGTTCTGTATCAAAACCCCGAGATCCTTCTGTGAAGATTCTGCGGGGAGCCTTATATCTTTCAGGTGATATGTCCTCAGGCTCTCATTTGAATGAGAGTTGGTTGGACGCAGTTGAAGGACGGCACAATTCTCCACATTGAAATCTAGAAGCCATTTCTTCGACCACGCTTGCAGTCGGTGCAAATTATCTTGAAGAGATCTCTGATCATTCGGACCCTTAATGACTTGCCAGAGCTTAACGTCGTCTGCAAACATTATTTTGCCGCAGTCGAGTTCCTGAAGGCTGTCGTTAACGTAAAGGATGAGGAGTAATGGTCCCAGAACTGAGCCTTGCGGCACACCACTGATCACGTTCACCCATTCTGACATATCATTCCCGATACAGACACGTTGTTTCCGACCAACCAGAAACGCCCTAATCCAGTTCAGAAGATCTCCCCGGATGCCGATGGCGCTGAATTTGTGAAGAAGACGTTGGTGCGGGACAGTGTCAAAAGCTTTGCGGAAATCGATGTATACAACATCGACCTCAAAACCCTCTTCTAGAGCCCTGGTCCAGATCTCCAGACAAGCCAGCAGATTTGAGAGGCAGGAACGTCCTCTCCGGAAGCCATGTTGAAAATCCTGCTAGATGTTATTTTCTTCACAAAATTGCCGCATAACGCTCTTTGCTAGAGCTTTCATCGTTTTGCATGGGAGGCAAGTTAGGCTAATAGGCCTAAAGCTGCTTGCTGTCATCTTGCTACCTCCCTTATGCAATGGAACGAGGTTAGCTGTCTTCCACTATGAAGGCAGCCTTCCTGTTCTCATTGACAGCTCAAAGAGAGTCGAAAGAGGCTTTGACAGCTCCGTTGATTGCTCCTTAAGTATCAGCCTGGGAATTCCGTCGGGTCCAGGAGACTTATCAGGTTTTATTTGACTGAGGACGCGTCTGACTTCTTCGACGGAAAAGGCGACGGTTTCAATGACGGCAGTTTCTTGGCGCATTTGAAGCTCCCGGCTGTCTCGGTCCA